TGTGAAATCAGCTAGGTTGATTGCCGTATCAACCGATAGAACGACTGACATCTCCAGAAAACTTGTTTGTACGTGCCTCTTTCCCAAGCCAGCCTCCTTCACTGCTAGTGGGAAAGAGGGTTTTGTTAACGGCCTTGTCGACGGTTTTTCTCAGTTTTTTCTCCACTGTCGTTCCACTTCGCATCTCTATACTCAGTTTCAATCGCCATAATACCCCCTTATTGAGCCCGACTTTTGCCTTTAAAATCTTCCACGGAAAAAGCTCCGCCCTCATTACCACAGAAAACGATACCTTAAAGGAATCTTCCACGGAAAGAGTGATCATTTTGTCTTGTGTGTAGGATTAGTATTATCGAAACTAACGCTTATGTTCCGTTCTTTTTGCTATGCTCATGAGGCTAGGGGCCTAAGGTATCGTTTTTCTGTGGTAATGGAGGCGGAGCTTTTTCCGCGGAAGATTCCTTTAAAGAGAGCACGACCGTCAAAAGTGATAGCTAGTATGTCGAGATAGAAGTGTCTCAATTTTTATGTTAAGTTCTGAGAAGATGTTAAGTTAAAGCTAGATTGGAGACGCCAAAAGCTTTAAAGCGTCACGTGTCGAGAAGGGTTAGAACCTAAATATCTTAAAACTACACAAATGCTTGCTTCTGCAGTTCTTGTTTTCTAGTGTCTAGCCTAGCGGACCCTTCGACTGGCAGGACTAGCGCCAGGAAGAGCAAGAAGAAGAACAAGCGTCTAGCCAGAATAGAACGGAATATTTCGTTTTCAGAGCTCAGCAAACCAAATTAAATAGCTTGCCCTAAACTACGGCATAAACATGCAAACAAATGAACAAGTATTGTTTACCATGTCGATATCTCTGCCCCATGCTCCGAGATCCTCCGAAGTGAGCCATAGTTCTTTGACGCCGTCCCTTTCAAACGCTGTACGAGCCTGAAACAGCCTGTACAGACGGAGTGATAGACTGTCTGAACATAAAAATACAAAGATGATGGGGTACAATCATGAAATTGTAGTTTTAGCTACCGACTGTTCAAATACTTGCAAAAAGTCAGCTGAACACATTGGAATACAACCTTGAAAAGCTCCTAAACAATAAAAAACTCGCTAAGAATCAGCCAGGAATATGTTAAGCAATCACTAAAGAGGATTAGCTTTTGTGACACGAATACAAACCTGGTCAACTAGTTCCTCTATGGGATAACTTTTTAGATCTCCCCTTGCCATTTTCGTCTTGCAGTAGGTACAGTGATTCAGGCAGCCTGTATTTATCGCTAGGACCTTAATAAAAATAATGTAATTCCTACATGTGGGTTCAATGACTGCCAATCACTCAGAAGATGATAGAAAATCTAAACTATACACAAACCTCAACTAGCTCATTCTTTCGCATTTTCGGCAGCGAGAGCCCCGCATCTGGACGTTTTCGACTCAAAAGTCGAACTGGAAATCCCTCAAGCTTAGCAACCACAAAAAAACAAAGCCTGAGATGAGTTATAGCACAGCCCCACCTGTGTTTCCTTTTAACGTTTCTTCAACTACTTCTACTATCCGGTCGATTTGCTTCACACCAACAATGGAGACGTTTTTCAACCATGGCTCGTCTGGTGCCGCCTATAATGCATAAATTTAGCCGCCTTCTCAAGCAGTTTAGATGATTTTGTGGCAGGGACAGCAACAATTCGCAAGCTTTTAGCTTTTGATTTTCGTTTTTTTATGAAAAATGAAATTAGCTTTGAAGAGGAGATCCCTCATTCACAACTAAAATACATTCATGTTCACCATACAATAGTGCAGCTGCAACACCAAGCCTAATGACAGGTGAGTAAACCTTATCTATCGCAGGGAGTGCTAACTGTAAGATAACAGAACGATCAATTTTGTACAAAGTACACTTCAGAGACCACAACCGATTTTCCATTGGATTGCAATTTTCCTTGAAGAATTATTTGTATTCGATGCCACGTCGATCTTTCCTTGAAAAATCGTCGAATTCACTGCCAAATTAGGTACGATTGTAAAACTCACAAAATATCACATGCTAAAACGCGATAGAAACAGAACACTAACCAGGTGACCACGTGTGACCAAGGCCGTTTGGTCGCACTCCTCAGCTCGAACACTCGTTAACAATAACACCGATAACCTATGAAAAACCTACGGCGTGACCGAGACCTTCGCACGTCACCGTAACAGTCACGTTATAGAAACAGATTCAATTGCAAGAGACTGGATGGGGCTAGGGCATGGTCAACCATCCGCTTGCATTATTCGAACGAGGGGTCGCATTCGTGACTTAACACGTTGACGACAGCGTGACGCGGTAACGCGTCCCACTTTGCGCACCTCGTGGGACATTGTGACGCGGTAACGCGTCCCACCCAAGTCATCCCTTTTTCTTGCGCTTGTGCGACTTATTCCTAAGGTCTTTGTACTCATTCTATAGGTCATACATTAGCATACTTAAAAACCACATGGCTCACAGAAAGGCCAAATATTCTTTAGTTTGGCAGAGTTTTCCAGACCTTACGGATATGTCTGTTCAGTTCATTCCTTTTCTTTTCAATAACGTAAACATGTTGATAAAAAGGAATAACAGAAGTGAATACAAACCTATTCGTATGGGAAGATATGTGTTTTTACTGAAACAACCACGTCCAAATTAATTTTGGAACCACTAAAGGGAAAGTAAGTAAAATTTGCCTTTTCATGGCCTTAACACGTCATTTCGGTCGAACTTCCATTACTGCAGCGATAAGTTAGATCGAAGATTATTGAAACCACTTTTCCGCATCTAACCAGGAATGGATGATTGGTCGAAGTGGCCATATGTAAAGAGACCTACACCAAGGATGCGTTTTTGGACGCTGATCTCGAATCTGCTTTCCAAATCTGCCAAACGATTTTCCGAATGGAGTTATGAAGGAAAGTAGTGCAGCGGTAGTAGTCCGGGTTCACGTGCGAGACGTCGTAGGATCGATTCCCTGGCGGGTTCTCTTTTTTGCCTTCGCTGCAAAATGATGAAAAGGCTCCCAGCTACCTTACTCGATCAATGCTTGCCTGTAGTTACCCGTGCAAAGACTTTGCGAAGAGTTTCTAATCAGTTTCTGCGGTACTTACTAAAGACTGCACATGGAGCCCACAGAACTCTTGGCAGACGTTTTTGCAGCAAACAAGTGTGATATTCGTGTTCCGGAGATTAAAATACCCCTAGGGACAAGTTTGTAGCCAAATTTGAGATTTCGACCAAATTTCGAAATAAGCTGGGTGGGTATCTATCCATTCATCCATCAGCCTATCATCGAAGCCTATATAGCCTTGAGACGATATAAGTTTTTTTGGTTTCTGAAGAGTGTAAAGCAGTGTCTGGTTTTCTGTTCGCATGATTTCAACACCCACATTTTATTATTTTCAAATTTAAAGGGTCGCCGTCGTCCAAAATAGGTCAACCCTGGAACTACCGGCTATGGATATGTAGCATCAATGAGTGACTCGCCCACTTTTTTGAAGTTAATTCAAAATCTCGAATTTTTCTAGAAATTGGCCCCAGGAGTTATTGGACTACTTGAACACAGATCTCACATTCGTTCGTTCACTCAAAAACGGCTGAAGCGCGCGCTCCGTATACTGGCGCGCCTTAACCTTATGTAGTGGCATGCAAGTTAGGAAAAATTTCGAAGTTATCGACCTCAAACTCATCCAAAAGCAAGTAGGGCTGACCAATGATGAAGGAATCATGTTTCACTACTGCCAAATAGTCAGTCACAAAAATGCAAAAGGAAAACACGGCCGGATCCGAACCACTGACCCCGAAATCCCAAGCCCACCACCTTAACCACTAGGCCACCAGCACCGATCGAAAGGCTCACTGCTTCGTTCACAAGCCGCTGCTGCTGAGGCCGATTTCTCACTGTGTTAAACTGTGTGAGGGAACAAAAAACCTCCGTAACTCCGTTCAGCGAATCGTTTGGCAGATTTGGGAAGAAGATTCGAGATCAGCGTCCGAAACCACATACCATGATACTTGTCTCATTTCATATGGCCACTTCGACCCTTCATCCTTCCCTAGTAAGTTTGTGTATTGACGGCTCAAAAATTCATTGATTTGGTGTGCGGCGGCGCTCGCAAAATCGCTCTGGTCCCATGTGTGCAGGAACGCGCGATGTCGTCAACGTATTAAGGCAGGGGGCTCGCATCTTGGGTGGGAGAAAGCAAAGCTAATACTCACGAAAAAATGTAAAAGGGGTTCGCAAAAAAGGTTTGGTTGTAGATGGGGGGGGGGATTTGGCGGGTTTTTGGATGAGTTTGGTGGAAGTTTGCTAAGGCTCCACGAAATTACTCTCCCCCTCCCCCACCCTTTAACGGCCGTTGTCACAAGTCATGATGGTGAGGGAGAGTTATCGGGGTAAGGAGGGCGTCGTATTTGGGAACCTCCTAACACTGTTTGCGGTAGTGAGCGACCGCATCTAGACCCCCTAAAGAGTGGGGAGGTCGCGAAATTTTTGGAAAATTGCGAACGCGACGGTTCACACTGGGCTAGGGTAAGATTATTGTGCGTTCAAGTCCGAGTTGAAATCATCTTTCCGGTCTTGAAAGTGACCACTCGTTTGACAAGATTGACATTTTCACTCGAAAGAGCCACATCGTGGAACATTTAACAGGAATAGACAAGGCTGTGGTGAAGATGGCATGATTTGAATAAAGGGCACTCTGTGGAAATTTCTTTCTTAAATACCCTTGACTGACGACGAGGGTTGTTCGAGTGGATTTCGCCACTTCTGGAGAGACCTTCGCCGTGACCCAAAGCAGTACTCGACGAGTATTTCGGAGGAGACTCATTGATGGCTTAGCATGGTTCCGAAAGCAGCGGGAAATTGGATATTAGCTTACCATCGTATCAGGTGGACAACTAGGATTACAGCAAAGCGCCCAAATCTCGACTGCAGCCATTTTGAGAAGTCAGAATCGCAAACACTTGCTTTGCAGCAACCCAAATCGACGTCCATAATACGTGTTTCATTTGGGGAAAGTTTCGGGTGGTACATTGGCCAGTATCTTCCTAAGGCGACATAGAAAACTTAGGGTTGCCGTGGTTCGCTGTCTTAATACCATTGAAGGAAATAATAATACCACAAATGACCTGACACGTTGGTGACCTAAGATTGGGAACAGATCGACGAGACGGTATCGGAGCTTGGTTCCTAGAATGCCAAGTAGAATGTACGATCAAAGCTTTGGTAGGCCTACCGATTTTCGATTCTGATATTTAAGTTTTTTAAAAGTGTCCACATGCTTTAGTTACGGGGGAAGTTCTTCCTTCGATAAAAATTAAAGCTGCTTGCAAATTGGTAAAAATCGAGGGATTCATAAGTTTTCGCATACGAGAAATTGGATGGTGGCGGTTTGATGTTGCAAAAGCCAACGGTTTCTCATAGAAGGACAAATTTTGGGGTATAAACATTATTTTGATACGCATTGTATGGTCTGACGTAGTTAAAAAGGGAGCGACTACCTAGGGTTTCTAGAAAGATCGCGAAGTTGCTACTTCTGCTGCAGACTCAACACACTGGGTACGGGAGGTGGCTGTGCCCACGTGGGCCTATTTCCAATGAAAACTGCTTTAGAAGCCTCACATTACGCACTCATATTCAACCAAGGAAACAGTCAGTCAAGGCGTGACCCATGCGGACGATGCACGAAGGCTGGGAAGCATTTGCCTAATAAGTAATAGGAGCGGTTAAGTATTGTAGGTTCCAGTGCGCTGATGAGAGGAGAGATCTCTACTACAAAGAGAAACATGTTTTGTCGGAATCAAACCAGCGAAGAAAAAGAAAAGAGGAGATGTCGAGGAGCTGATTACGTGGAGAATAATCACAGTAGAGTTACCACACTTTTACTATCACCCGAATAGCCAAAAGTCTTTCATGATGCTCATGAACTATGAAATCCCAAATATCAGAAAAACAGACGGAAAAGGCACCTAGATCTAACCGGTGACCGTAATTTTCGTGAAATCCCGCATTCGCCAGGAGAAATGACGAGCTAGATTCTCTGAGAACAGAACTGAAGAAAGCGACTAAAATCACCGAAATTATTAAGAAGAAACGACGTCGGCACGCCTGACGCAAATCTTTTAGGAAGGAACAGTAGTACTGGGCAATTTAGCGAAAATCTCGAAAAAAAAGTGTAAATCAAGTACATTCCGGTAAATTTTGAATCGGAGAATGAGAAGGAACAGAAGGCCCTTGTAAATAGACACACGTTATCCCAAAATTACAACTTTAACTACAGCACAATATGCCGTTCAATTCGACAAGCAAAAGCGTTGTGGAGAAAGCGAACGGTGTCCGTAAAAAGTGGCACAAAAACGCAAATGGAGCGAGAGGCCACCTCGCCTGCAGGCCAACAAATAGGAAATCGGGGTGTGTTCTCATAAAATTTGTTCTTGTTAGTCTTTAATGCAAGGAAACAAAGAAACAACTGTAGGGGAAAAAAAAGAAAGAGAAGCCTTACCTGAGAGACACATCCTGCCATGACGACAGATTTGCCTTGTTTCCTTCCCTCCTCTAACAGATTGCTCGCCTGCGTTTCTGACGGCGTTTTGACGGTGCAACTGTTCAAAACCCATAACTTTGCATCCGATGACTTTCTCACGATCGGATATCCTGCCTGAAATTGAAGTGAATGAGTTACACACGATTCTCATTCGGACAACCACCACAATGTCTGTTTGCTTCGAAAAACTGAAACAGTTTGGACTGCAAAAGCTAACATGTGAAAATCTATTCAAAGAAAACTGGGAAAATGTTTTACCTTGGCAAGTATTCCGGCCATATACTCACTGTCGCTAGCATTGTGGGAACACCCCCATGTCTTCACCCATACAGGCGTTACACCAGGTACGAAGGAATCCATTTGACCAAGATCTGCAGCATCTCGTTTCGACCTAATATTTTGAATGGATTGAATTCTCTTCATATAGTAATGCAAACATCATTAGGAATTATAGTCGGTCAGTGTAGCACACTTATGGTTAGCGACGGCCTCAAAAAATTGATATCCTATGGCCGGACGCATAGTCGGTCGGACGACAGCAACGACTGCAAGTGTCGCACAGCATTGGGTGCGTATCGATCTGCGACACTTGCAGTCGTTGCTGTCGTCCGACCGACTATGCGTCCGGCCTATCTGCTTTTTGATGTTTCTGATGTTTTGCGATGCCACATGTGAGTCAACAAATACTACATGCCTAGCTGCGAGAAACGGAGAATACATGATTCACACTGATGCGATGGTGCACTCAAAAACTTCAGAACCCTGGAAACCCTTCCATAACCTAATACGAAGGCCTGACCTAATTTTTATTTGGATGTCGTCCAGTTTTCGAACAGCACCAACGTCGCGTATATCGAAACCATCTTCTATATCTGCCATGGCACCTGAACAAATTGTAATACAGAGGAGCTCTCAGATTGTTCTGCTGCATACCATCCTAAAAATAGGCCGCAACAACGACTGACAAATGCGACCTTCCCTCCATAAACCGTCCACCCAACGCAAAATTTAACTCGAATACTCGCCAAATGCAGGTTCTTTACAACGATTGCTGAGTAATTTACAAAAGGAGATAGGAGAAGCACTGAAAGTCTCCCAATAATGATTCTGACAAGATAATAAGTAGAGAATCGCACCAGAAATTCAAAATTCCTTCATTACAGCTGCAAGGGATGTAACACAAGAAGAACTGTTTAACATGCATTTGGAAGCGGATCAGAGCCAGATACATACCTAGTATGTAGCGTAGAACAGGCGACGGGGAAGAGAAAATCAAAGGCCCCTCGACACTCAGCAGTTGATCCACGAGCCATATAAAAAGATAAGAAAAACAAAAACAATTGGAGGTTACGCTCAGAGGTTCTAATATTGCAATTTTAACATTGCTTGTCTCCGTCTTTCCATTGAAACATGCAGGAATAAAAAAGAGAAGCATAGTAGAAGAACAGGACGAGGTAACTGCGGCACGAACTATGGCCCAACATCTCCAACGGAGAGCTACAATCAACTACTTGATCTTAGGGCATCAAAGCGTTTGCTTGCGACTACTTAGGACCTTTTTCATCCCAAAAGTCTATGCTAATGGCGTATAGTCCGACCAGGAAATACGGCGCTTTTCCTAGAAAGGTAGACCTCACTTCACCCATGAGGCATTCGCAGGACCCTTAGGCGCTGCCTTTTCACCCCTCCAATGAAAATCAGATGGGTGGCCCACCTTGAAACGTCAGCTCTCGAGGGACCGCATTAACGGCTGCCAATCTATTACATTCGCGTATAATCACACCCAAACACCCAATTGCCTCACTTGATGATCATTAACCACCTCAATTGTTGGTTGCCACTTTAGAAGCCAAAAACGTCGAAGTCGCTTAGTCACTTTACAATTATCTACATATAAGTGGCTCTTCACGCCTGATTACATTCACTTATTCAAGCCACGATTCAGTGAATTCTCTCGAAAGCAATCTACTGACCTGATTGATCTCATACCACTGACATGAAAATTTCTCACCCCTCTTCGGCACGTTCAATTGTCTGGGCGTTCAAATAGAGCAATCACTCCCCAGTGACCGTCGCGCTTCGCCGGCATATTTGATTTCTGGCAATTAGCAACCACCGCATGCAAATCACCAGGGATTATGCCCGGTGCACCCGTCGCTTATACAAGCGCTGCCCGCTAAGCAGCGATAATTCAATTCTATCGGCTTTCCTTCAAGAGCTCTTGACGGAACCTTTGCTCTCCAATCATTGCTTTACAAATCATGTTATCAGTCGCCAATGAGAAATCTGGGATCATCCTCTTGCTCCAAGGCTCCAAGGATGTCAGTGGTGTTCAGTTTGAGATGTTACTTTGTTTCTCCACCAACTGTTCCCTCACAGTTTCCCCAAAAGTTTAGCCTCAGTATACTTACTTTCCTGACCCTTCATACTTTTAAATCTACCACAATTCCTTCAAATTCTCAACCATCTTACGCAATAAACTCAGCTGCTGCGCAGCAGGTGGTGCTAAAGCCACAATTAAGAGGAAAATGCAGGTTGAAGCGGGAAGAAAGAAGGTCATGGAGGGGTGAATTCCTGTTAGGAGACACCCTTCTATATTAGTAGCCCCAATCAAATTAAGGGCGGAAGTGGTGTAGTGGCAAGTGGCGCGCTTACCACGCGAGCGGTCCGGGGATCAAATCCTGGGTCGTGAGTCGCCCGGGCCAACCAAGCCTTCCATCCCTCCGGGGTCGGTTAATTGGTACCAGACTTGTCTGGGAGGATAAAAACACTGACTTGTACATCGGCTGGCCCCCGCAAGTCATTGTATAGGCCACATCGCATTCAAACGCCACTACGAATGTACAAATGGAAGTAGAATGCGTGCCGCATCCCAAAAAGGGATTGATCAACGGCAAAGCTTTATCCTTATCCTTATCAAATTAACAACTTCTTCACTAGGTTGAGGTTTAGGCTTTGTTGTCTTTGCCAAGTGCCAGGAAGTTAAAGATAAACCGGATTCACTCAGTGAAACGGCAGCTTACATTTAAGAGAAGTAAACCAGCAATAAAAACGCGGATCACCGGGAAAAAAGCTTGAATCGTAGTTTCACAAGATGATTTACTCTCCACCTCAGGTTCCTACAACTACAATTCGTGTTTTGAGGACAACATCATAGGAGTTATCATAGTAAGGATGAGCTACTTCTCAGGATGAACACTGCTTCAAGAAACTGTCTAGCACTTCTCATTGTTGATCCTCCTCCCATAATCACCTCACCTTGAAGAAAAGCACGCACCCTTTATAGTCCTGTTTTCCTAAAAGTATTTCCTTTCGAAGGACTTTTCATACTCGAAGACAGCATCAGGATAAACATGAATGGTTATTACAGGTGGCGGATATCACCATCTGATCGCATATAAAAGAACTGCTCACCTCGGCCTCAAAAACCACCTCAGCTCATGACACTTCTCCCCCCTCCCTACACAATAATCGCCCATGCGGAAGTGTGAATAATTATGCTTCGCGGAGCATGAAGCTTGAACAATTCAATATAGCCAGCGCCAGCATCGCCATAAAGCATTACTATCAGTTTTGAATTCTAAAAACATTTATTCTTATATACAATCTTCATATAGCACTAGCTGTACATTGTACAATATAGTAAGTAGAGCAAATTATTACAAAAGTTTAGGCGCATAGTAAAGGAGAGAAAGTGCACTACGGAACTCTACAAAATATCATTAAGCCTCAAGAAAAATAACTGAAAGTAAACCTCAACTGATAAGAGAGCGAAACCAGTTTTGGATTCCCATTTTGTTAATGGTGATATTAAGGAGAAGAATTTTGAAATCTTTGGAAGATTATTCGAACAAGAGAGGTTCGACTAGGAACTAAACACAGCTATGTCACACTAGCCCTAAACCTAACATTAAAGAATGACTATTGTGACTTCATCCTATGAATTTTCCGAAATGAATACAAAAAAGAGAAGAAACATCAGTCATGATATTATCATTACAATGGCGAAGGTTACGGCATATGACTATGGACACGGGACACTGATGGAAAGTTATGAATAGGAAAATTTGCTTCTAAATAGCAATATGGCAATCACCACAACACACAATGGCAGAAGATAGTTGATATCATGTTCTAGCAAGAGGTATTCTGACCAAAAACCTAGCTCCTGGCTTAATAGTATGAGTCATCAAAATTGAACAAATACTACACCACTCCCTGGATATGAGAGGTATCAAAGCTTGTGATCAACGTTTTCAAGAACGTCATTTCCCGACGGGTGTTCTCGAAAATAACCCGCGGATCCTCGCTCTCACATCTGAAAAGAATGGCTCTGCAACAAACCTCACTCTTCGGAAGTTTAAGAACGATTCCAACGAAATGAAAAAAAAAATCAAAAATGATTGGAAAAGCTAGGAAGTGTAGGAAAGCGACAAGTAAGTCCAAACCTCAGAACATTGGGCGCCATCACCATAGCCAAATTTGATGCATCCATTTTGGTATGCGCCACTACCTCCTCGCGGGACAAGTCCTGCAAAATTATCATAGTGCAACGTCTAGGCAAAGTAATATTCAAGGCACATACCTGTAGGCAAGCCACGAGCTTTGTTAATACGAGTTGGTTGATATTAGGGAGAATTTTAACGAGCCGAGCGAGCTCGGCAGGGTTTTCCGATGCTGCTAGCGCCCGTTGGTAGAACGCATGTGGTATCAGAGGCTCTGGGAGCTGCCGCAACCATAATTTCAACAAGCCAGCTGGCACATGTGGATCGTGAACTACTGGAATGACGAACATATCAAGCCGAGCACGAGTAGTCATGAGTTGGTCTGGATCAGCAGGCACTCTGAAAGTTACTTTTACAGAAATTCAAAAACAACGAACCCAGTGAGATAACAGCAAAAAAATCAAAATAATAACTGCAACAGATCTCTCAGCGTATCATGCGAATATGACTGTATTGCTATGGGATGGTAAACATTCCTAACCAGCGTCATGCTTCGGTAATAAACAGAAGTAAGCAACCATAACTCGCCACATCTGACATTTCTGACACAATTTTGTGAAATGAAAGTCAACTGAAAACTTTATATTATTATCGGATTTGTTCGTTGTTTAGAAGCGCAACGAGTGGAAGATGCCCGCCCGAAGATGCAATTTCCGACATCTACCATTTATGTTTTTTCAAACAAGTCGGCAACTACAGCTTATCACACATTTGTTTAAGCTTATCATCATAAATCATGAATGGCATCCCATCTGTAAACGTAATTTCAACATATTAAAAGTGCATGGTGACTTTTGCGGATAAAAACACCCCCGCCAACCAACAAAAATCAGTTAATAAAGTGCAATCAAAATTATGTCCATGGCCGAAATAGGAGCCAGGCGAGGGTGCGAAGTATTTCGAAACTTCTACACACAAATGGAGAAATTTGAAATGAATGCAAAAGGTTGCCACAGAAACTGCCCCTTCTGGTGGTCTCTTGTGCGACAAAACTTGCAAAAACTACGAGAGAAACGCTTTGGGTGTATTTATTGTCGGTCGTCCGATTGTAAGCGATCGCACAGTATGATGTACACTCTATTTCATGCAGCCAGAAATCCACGTGGCACACGTGGCTAAATTCTCGATGAAAAGGTGACGTCACTTGTGCTCAAAGGTGTTCTTAAAGGCAAGATTCGGGATAAAATAGGTGTGGAAAAGCGTTCAGTCATGAACTAGAGGTGGGAGGTGGTCTGTAAAAGAGAAGGAAAGCAAACGAAACCACCGATTACGCCCCGTACAGAGACCTCCCCTATTTCAGCCACATTCCACCTTGGGATAGAGAAGAGGCGCGTTGGACGAGTTTCACGAACCTAACTCTAGTTGCTCCAGTGCCAATGACATTGGATCGCGTGGGACCGCTGCCTCAATGCGCCCGCGCTTTTCAAGCAGCGCCACGTGGCAACCGACAGCGGAGGGTGGGGCTTGCGGACGAAGGTGTGAGTTGCGGGTCGGACGAGCTCCTTGCGCCTTTGTCGCGCACTTTCAAGCGGCAAAAGGGGCGCGACATCAACACTTGTCCGCCTGCCTACTACCCCGGGATGGAACAGGCGAGCGCGCCTAATCGTGGAGCGTGCCTTTAAATCGATGCCACGTCAATGCCACGTCATCTGCAAATGCACAATTTCTGGTTATTTGAAGGGGAGGATATATCGATCGTCCAATCCTCGGAGAGGTCTAACGATCGATACGCATTCAATGCTGTGCGACCGTTACAATCGTATTTACGATCAACTATGAATGACATGGGCGCGTGATCAAGGGAACATAACAATTTATGACCACCACCGATCCAAGCCGATGCAGCACAGCCCGGCACGAGCGCGAAAAAGTTGGAGAGGTGTGAAAATGAGTCTATCAACTGATCATTTCCAAAATTGCCACCAATAAAGCTCGTGATGCTTGAAGTCGTTTTGGTTGCTAGCTTGCGATGAAGATAGAAGGCTGGAGCAAATGAACGACAATACTTTCATGGGGATCAAATTAAACAAATTTTTAGAAAGAAAAAACCAAATAAAAATGTTTAAGAATATTCACAATGCTATGAAAAAATGAGAAGAATTCGAAAAAAATCATTCGGCAGAGCAATACAATAGGGTGCAACACACCTGAATAAACCCTCGGTTCTCCTTGCACCAGACTCGTACAGCAATTCAATAAGGGTCGTCTCAATCCATGGCAATTGGAGTTGAGGATAACGCTCAGCTTGCATCTCCATTAATTCATTTAGTGATGCCGAAAACTGAGGAGGATTGAAAATGTGTACCTGGAAACATACAAGGTTTTGATGTAAAGAATGAAAAATTATATGAATAGCTATGAGATATAATATAACTAAACTGTCCATCGAAAAAAAGTTATACATATGGATAGAAAAGAGATGCGCTCACCCTAGCTTCTTGTACAGCAGCAAGTGAAGGTTTTGGTCGGATTTGCGACTTAGACAGCCGTTTTGCACACTGTTGTGCGAAGTGAGATACCGCCACCTGGAACGGCTGCTTTATCTAGCAGTGAATTATACCTAGTTATACATAACCAAAGGTCAAACTCTAAGAGAACGACAAAGTATAAAACATTTCATGTTAGACCTTCTTGCAATCTTGGCATGGTTAGTTCAGTAGGAATGATTCTTCAAGCCTTTCAAGATTGAACTTTTTATTAGGCTTACGTTTCGGCTTCTTCGCCTTCGTCAGAGCCTGAAATGGTCAAAAGCATGTGTAACTTGCTCGCTCAAACGCCTCAACAAAAACTCAAGACTCTTCACTAGACTAGGAAACTTTCAAAGGTATTGATCGATAGAGGCATGGGACTGCTCACCTTGAACTCCGCCGCTAAGACAGGAGGACGACCACCCTCGTACTAACTAGTATGTGGTAACTTAGTACCTCCCACCGACCTCATGGTAGATCAAAGGTTACAAAGGTCGAGGAAGGGTGCGAGTTCGCGGGTTATGGCCACACACTCCTTCTTGTTCATTTGAGGGTCTTTTGCCGTGATATTTACCACATACTAAAGTTAGTACGAGGATGATCGTCCTCCTGTCTTAGGCCGACGTCATTTTGCGAATCGCTGGATCCGAGCGTTGCGCCAGCGAATCGAACGTTGCACCAGCGAATCGAACGATGTACCAGCGAGTCGAACTAGGTACCAGCGACTCAATAGTGGCGGGACCCAACGTTCAAAGGAAGCCCGCCACTTTCAAACAGTGTCCACTGTCAAGTCCCGCCACTTTCAAAAAGGGTCCACTGTCACGTGACACTGTTCAGGGGCGGTATTCAATCCTTCCCCCAGGGGATATATCCCCCTACTCTGATTCAATCCTCTGGGGGGACAAAAAAGGGTTGCGTCATAGGACCTAGCATACCTCTGTGTTTCTACCTGCCAGACAGTTAGAGCAGCGCGACCCCTCAGGGAAAAGAGTGCTTCATCAGTGGAGGGTAGCGCTGCTCTAACTGTCTGGCAGGTAGAAACACAGAGGTATGCTAGGTCCTATGACGCAACCCTTTTTTGTCCCCTCAGAGGATTGAATCAGAGTAGGGGTATATATCCCCTGGGGGAAGGATTGAATACCGCCCCAGGTCGTTCCCGTATGGCCTGGCAAGGTCGCGCTCGTGGTGATCGCCGTTCCGCC